GTGAGGGTTGGCTGGTTTTTATGTGTTCTCTGTGAAGCAGAGTAATTGCCACCTGTTGTGGCCCCAAGAACAAATTATAGCTACTGAATTTTATATATTTAGGGTTAACATATTTAAAGAAGTCAGGACTTCAGACTAGGCATTAAAATGCTGAGTAGAAGTAACCCAGGCTTGATACAAATGAAGCTGGCCCAGGCTTGATACAAATGAAATATCAGATGTATTGACAGCTTCAGCTGGGTCCATTGATGGGAAGTCAGATGCATATTGTGTTTTGTGTGGGAGAACTCTGTTGTTTTAGAAACTCTGGAGTATGAGGCTAGCTTAGGTCTACTTCCTTTATCCTATAGTCACAGTGATGATGTCTCTGTTATCAGAACCATGAGAGTTCTAATAACAGACCTCACAAATCTAGCTGATCTTTTATGGGGAGCTGTCTGGAACCCAGTACATGAAGTTGTGATGGAGCATCAGGTCCCAGGCAGCTGGCACTGGAGGTCAAGTCAAGCATCTATAGAATGATGTTCACACCAGTTCCCCCCAGGCTTTCCATGGCAATTTCCAGTATCCCAGAGTCGTTAAGACAGACTTGGGTCTGAACTTTGGTTGAGCCAAGGCTGTGTAGTCTGCCCTAAGTTGCTTAACCTCTTTGAACCTTAATATCCTGGAAGTTACAAGTCCTGGGACCAGTGTTAGCTCTGTCACCAACAGACTCCGGAACAAGCAGGCTATGCCAGGGGACCCGAGAGGCTCCTAACAAGCTCCAAAATTTTTATGATTTTAAGGTCCCTTCTCTATCCACTGAGAAAACAAACCGAGCTGATTATGTCTTTCTCCAGAGAGAAAACAGCTGGAAATGCCTACTCCTTTTGGTTTTTAAAGGTGCATTTTAGACAAGGCCTCCCTGTGGCAGCTGGAGGACACATTCTCTTTTCTTCTCTGGTCAGTGCCTAGGATGATGCTGTGGCAGGAGGGCTGGCCTGCGCGTGGCAGTACCCAGGCTGGGCTGAGGGGTTGTGTCCCAGTCCTCCTAGGACCACCTTGAGAGCAGGCCCGAGCCGAGGCTCCATGCCGTCCTTTCCTGGGCCTTTTAGAGAGTGACCCCTGCACCTCTCTAACAGTGACCTCTGTAACAGATCTGACTGACGTGTGTGCAGATCTGACTGACATGCGTGCACAGGGCATGCAGGTGAGGAAGAGGTCAGGGACTCGTGAGTGTGAGGAAGAGTGGAGGGGGGAGGGAGTGCGGCAGCAGCCCCAGGACCCCCCGGGCAGAGGGCCACAGGCAAGGCCGTTTGGCCCAGGTCTAGTCACAAATGTCACCCTCATGGAAATGCCCTTAGGTCTGGCCAGACGGAGGGAGACAGGACAAAACCCAAGTGAGGCGCCAGGGAAGCCAGGAGCTTGCCTGGGCCTCATCACTCAGGCTCTCAGCAGCCTGGGTCTGGCCTGGGGCCAGCCTGTTAACTGTCTGGCTGGGAACAAGCTGGTGAGTGCAGCGTCAGATAAGTGGCCATGGCCGCCTCAGCCCCCCGGGGAGGGGCATGCTCCGGGCCAAGCCACCGGGACAACAAGGAGAAGGGAAGGTGGCTCTGAGGCTGTGAAATGAGAGATTTAGAAGCTGCCAGGGCGCGAGTGCCGAGGTGCTTAATTGCAGAGGTGTCTCTGGCTCTGTGATGTCCGTGGACCAAAGGAACTCTCAGAGCAGAGAGGGAAGTTTCGTCTAAGACCAGAACCTGCTCCAAGCTCTCAGCACAGGCCAGCTCAGAGCTCTCTGCCGACTGGCTGGAGAGACCGTCTGCCTTTTCCTCCTGCCCAGTCCAACACCAGGAAAGGGGAAGGCCTCCCAGCCTCCCTGCAGCCTCTGCCCACCTCTTTCAGCTTGCGCAGCCAGGTGTTCAGTCTGGGGAGAATGGGGGATGGGCCTCGTGTGGGAAGCTCAGTGGTCAGGTGAGTCACAAGAAAGCAGTTACCAACAATCGGTACCAACATTTGGGAGGGCTTTGCTTAAAAAAAAAAAAAGTTAATTATAGTGCATTCCGACAGTCTCCATGATAAAATCACTGCTGTTCCCTCCATGCTGGTGGGCTTCCTTCAGTGGGAGGGAAAGGGATTGGTCGCACCCAGGAGCCTTGGAATGGGCAGAGCCTGGACTGAATTATGCATGTGAAGAAGCAGTGGAGCTGGGCCACTTGAGGGGCCTCGGATAGGGCCAGGCCCCTGGGTCTTTGCACGGACTTAATTATCTCTACGGGTGACCCACTGGTAACTCAGTTGCCCAACTCCTGAGTCCACCTGGTAAACTCTTACAGATCTTTCAGGAGGCAACACCGACATCCCCAACTCTGTCCAGCTTGTCCCTTCCACTTCAGGCGGACTCAGTCACGCCGCCCTGTAGACCTAGTGCCGTAGGCCCTTACACGCCCGTCTGTGGTCACCCAGCACCCTGTAATGCTACCATGGTGACTGCCCAGCCCATTGTTTTCACTGCATTCCTGATTTCAGGCACTTTGCTATGTTGGTCCCACAAGTTCTCACAGCATTCTGGAAGTGTTGGCCTTGCAGGTGCTCCCTCTCAGTGAAACCCCTTGTCAGATCTGAGGTGCTGATTTTGGGGTTGAGAACTGGTAGGCAGCAGACGTGAGGTCGTGAAGAGTCAGACACAACTGAGTGACTAAGCAGAACACACAGCACAGATGGGTTCCAATGCATTCATGAATCTGCCACCTCCCTCCAGACTAAATTCCTGAAGGTCAGGACTGTCTTTTTCACACAGTCCAGCACTGTGATTGGCAAAGAGGAGGGATTCAGCTATTGTTGGCTGCCCCTACATGATGTATATTGCGTGCCTGATTGCATTGAGTTTCCACAGCAACCCTGTGATGTTATGACTCTTGTCCCCATTTTACAGAGGAGAAAAATGAGGCTCAGAAGAGTTAAGTAACTTTCTCACGAGTGAACAGTTAGCAAAAGGTAGATCCTGGATGCAGACTTAGGTCTTTGTTCCTCCACTATGTATCTGCCAGTTGAGTTCAAGCTCAGGAATGTTTTGGGATTATTGAGCCAGAAACCAGAGATGCTTAAGCTAGAGGAGATCTATTGCATAAACATTGAGGTCAGCCTGCCTCATGTCGGAATTACAATATTCAGCTGAGCCTTCATTTGGTGCCCACGGGCACGTTTTACCCTCTGCGTGTTCTATCAGGTGTACTAGCGTACTCTGCCCTCTCTAGTGGAACTGAGCCTGGTGGCTCAGCGGTAAAGGATTCGCCTGCAATGTGGGAGATGTGGGTTCGATCCCTGAGTCGGGAAGATCCCCTGGAAAAGGAAATGACAACCCACTCCAGTATTCTTGCCTGGGAAATCCCAAGGATGGAGGAGCCTGGTAGGCTGCAATCCATGGGGTCACAGGAAAGTTGGACTTAGCAACTGAACAACAACAAACAACAAATGAACCAGTCATCAGCTGTAGAATGCAAAGCTAAACATGGACTATCTTTTATTAATAAATTTCAATCTCCTGTTTCAAGATAAAGAGACCAAGATCAGAGGGAAACTCATAGCTGCCATGTAATGAAACTTACCATGGGCCCAGAACTCTGCCAACCACGCCTTGCAGTATTTCATTTAATCCTCAGGTAGGCACTATTTAAACCCATTGACAATTGACAGATGGGGAAACGGAGGCTCTGGGGGCAAAGTGACTTGCCTAATGTCCCAGAGCTGATCGGTGGTGAAATCAGAATCTGAACCCAGGTCAGCCTGCTCCAGAGCACAAGTCCTCAGCCTGCATACCCAGCAGGGGGCTTTGCTGTGAGCGAGATGCCCTGCCCTACACCCCGCCCTGAACCTGCAGACAGTGCCGCCCTTGTCTCTCGCATGGGCCACCCTCCTGCACTCAGGTTCAGTCCCTCTCTGGAATTAGCAAGAAGCTGCTCTTCCCAGTACTGGTGGTTATTTTCAGCAGTGTGAAATAAGTGTAAAACAGGATATTTGCAGTAAAAATATCTCCCTGCTTATATAACGAAGTGGTACAAATGTCACTGACTTGAAGCAGATATGTGATTACTTTCTGCAGAGACGGATGTAGTCCTCACCCACCAGCCCGTTTGGAAGACTCACAGGTCCTGGATGAATAACCCTGGGGGCTAGACTCATGCTCCCCCCGCCAAGGGTGCAGATGCCCAGAGTCCTAGCGCACAGAGGTGTCAGCCCCAGCTTTAAAGTGAAAAGCCTGAATTCAAACCCAGTGTGAGCAAGTCACTCATCCTCTCAGTTACCCTTCCATAAGGAGCCGCAGGGGTTACAGAGGTAACATACATGAAAGTGCTCGGTGTCAGTGTCTGGGTCAAGCTTCAGAACCTACCAATAGCCCCATTCCTCCCCCATCACGATATTCTGAGAATTACCATATTTTAAGATGAGAAACGTATTTAAGAGTGTGTGGAATCATCACTGAAAATTCTAGACTGCAGCAGACTCTAGGAAATGTGTGGCTTTAGAAAGTGCTTCTTCCTAGGGAGGGTAGGCCGCTCCCTACCACATGTTCATCCTACTTCTGCTGTGATAACACTTTCTCTTCCTCTGGTCTGTTGTTGCTTCCATGAACATCCACTGAATGTTGGTTCTGTGCCAGGCACATTACGCGCACTCATAGGAGCGCTCATCCTACCTACCAGCACAGAGCACCTCACGCAGAGCCCAGAGAACTCAGGCCTGGGGTTTTTCCTAGCAGAAGTCAGAAAATATTTGCTGTCTTCTGACACTCCTCCGTTTCCTGGTTCTACCTTGGGGCATCCATCTGAGGACCATGGCCTCCCTCTCACCCCGCCGGCTCCAGCAGCTCGGCCCCAGGGTCCGCCAGGGGATTGCACAAACCTTTGGCCCAGCTTCGGCTTACCGCTATTCCTCCCCCGCTTGTGGTCACAGCCAAGAGAGGCCCGGTGCCCAGCTCTGAGGCCCAGATATTGCGGGGTTCTGCAATGCCAGGAAGGACTTACCCGACGGCTTGTCTGTGGAGGACGGGAGGCTGGTGAGGGTAGGCATGGTGGGCAGAGGGGGCGGCAGCACCTTCAGGTTCTGGTCGCTCTGGATCTCGTTGGTGGAGATCTGGTTGATGATGCGGTTGTAGGGGGGCGGCTGGTAGACGCGGGGCGGGGCGGCGGGGGGCGGCTGCGGCACGGGCCGGGCGGCGGGCACCCGCTGGCAGTGCTCCTCCAGCTGGGCGATGATCTCAGACTGGTTGTGGGCCAGCGTGGCCAGATGCTGGTACTTGTGCTCCAGGTCCTTGTACTTGCTGGCCAGCTGCAGCATGTCAGCCGTCTGGTTGAGGATGCGGTTCTCCAGCTGCGAGAGCTCGAGCGCGTTGTCCCGCTTGCGGATGATCTCGTGCAGGAGCTGCATGTAGAGCTGGGTGACCCGCGAGTTCATGTTGCGGCTCTCCTTGCGCAGCAGCTTCACCTCGCTCACGATGCCGCCGTCCACCTCCACCAGCTGCTGCAGCGTCTCGATCTGCCGCTTCTGCTTGAGCAGCTCGTTGTTGAGCAGCTCCAGCTCCTGCTTGTGCACCCTGTTCTCCAGGAGCACCTCGGGCTCCTTGGAGTTGACGCAGATGGCGCCCGTGACCCGCTGCTGGGGCACGATGAAGGTGTAGGTGCACTTGTCCGGGGACTCGCCGGCCCGCTTGTACCTGTTCAGGTAGACGAACTCGCCGGGTGAGCCCTCCTCGGTGCCCTCCAAGCCATCCTTCTGGCTCGCCGCCGCTCCCAGGGCAGCCAGCAGTCCCAGCCACCAGCACGTCACGCACAGCGGCCTCATGGTCCTTGCACACCGGGGGTTCGTTTTTGTGAGCAGAGCCTACGAAACCCTGAAAGTAAACAGAAGAGCAGACTCAGTAATGCTTATGTCACAGCCAGCGGCCGGTGCCATAAATGAGCTCAGCCTTCTCGTTGGGCAGCTGTTTCCAAAAAAGCTGCTTCAGGAGGCAGCCCTTCTGGGAGCCGCAGTAGGGGACAGGAGGCCTGGCAGAGGTGGAAAAGATTCGGGAGGGCACCGGGGCATGTGCAAGGCAGCAGGCTGAGGCCCTGCCACTCCTGGGGCCAGCCAGTGCCCGCGGCCCTCTCGTCGAGCACCTGGCCTGGAGCCCGAGAACCATAGGAGGGCAGACTGAAGCTGGGAGGGGAGGCAGAGGAAGGCTTGGCCTGTCTCTCTCCTCCTCCGCCTCAGACTGTTAAGTCTTCCCCTGGACGTGGCCTTTGTAACACCCATCACGGATGAGATGAATCTGAACTCCGTGTGATCTCTTCATGGTTCCGTGCTCCCTGAGGACCAGCACTGTGTCTGTTTCCATCCTGTATCCTCAGGATGCTGCACTCAGGAAGCTGTCCGCAAATGTTTGTTAAATGAATGATCCGCTAGGCGTGGTATGGGACGTGTTCGGTTTGTAGTGGACAACGTCAGTGGAAAGATGCGTCCAGTCACGTGGCTTCAATCTGTGTGTTAGCCAAGCTACAGAGCAGACAACTGAGCTCTGCTAAATGCACCTATTTTCAACAGGCAGTACCCACACTATCCCCATCACTGCAACATGATTTAGCCAGGTGGGAGCAGGAAAGAGACACGTGTCACCAGATTAGTTTCAGTTCTGTTCTTAGACCACTTGTTCCTTCCCCAGATATCCATGGAACACCTGGGGTGTGCCAGGCAGTGTGCTGGCTACTGGAGGTGCAGCTGCAAACAGGACAGAGCCAGCCCTGCCCTCAGCGGGCTTACCCATCATCTCAGAGCCCCTGAGTGCCAGGAGGCAGACGTGGTGAATGCGATGGGAGGGTAGAATGGGGAACTGACCTAACCAGAAGGGTCAGGAAAGCTTCCCTGAGAAAGTGACCTTCGTGCTGACCCCAGAGGGATGAGCGGGAGCAAGCCAGGCCAAGAGGGAGGGGACAGATATGCGCAGCTCACTCCTCCCTCTGCCCACTCAAGGACGTGGCTCTGGCCGCTCTTCCCCAGCTCCTCGGCCTGATCACTTTTTCCCTATGATCGTGATTTCTTTCAGCTTAAAAGAAAATCCTCACTTGACCTCATGTCCCTTCTCCAGCTACTATTTCATTTCTCTGCTCCCCTTTTAGCAAAACCCTCTGAAGAGTTGCCCACACCCTCCCCCACCATTTCCAGAAAGTTCTCTCTTCCTGTTCTCTCTTGAGCTCACTCCCATCAGGTCTGCCCCCTCCCCTCGGTTCCAAGTGTCCTGGACAGGATCACAGGGGGCCTTTCTTTCCAGACCAAAGGCTCAGTTCTTGGTCCTCATGGATGTTTCGCCTCTCAGCACTGCCGGACGTGGCAGATCACTCCCTCCTGGGACTTCCTTCCCCAAATGCCACAGTTTCCTCCCACCTCACTGGCTGCTCCTCAGTCTCCTTTGCTGGTTCACCACGCCCCCTTCCCAGTCCTGTCCTGGGTGGGGAGGGGGTGGCAGGGCTCAGTTCTCAGACATCTTCTGTACCTCAGTGATCTCATCCAGTCTAGTCTGAGGACTTCTCCCTGCCCCTCTGAGTCCAGACTCATGTGTCTAACTGCCTCTTTGACATTTCTGCTCAACTACTCTACTGCTACTGCGATGGGCACCTCAGCCATAACTTATCCAGAAATGAATTCCTGGGGTTTCCCAAGTCTCCATCCCAACCTGTTCATCCCAGTTTTTCCTAGGTTAGCGAACGGCGACTCTATTCTTCTGATTGTTTGGCCAACAATCTTGACGTTGTCGTTGACTCCTTTCTTCCCATCATACCCCACGTCTAAGTCACCACCAGATTATCACAGCAATATCCTGGGACTATTCTCAGGATCCTACAGCTTCTCCCCGCCTCCCCTGCTACAGCCCACCTTCACCTCTCGCCTGGACCAGACTGGTCTCACTGCTCCTGTCCTTGCCTTAACAGGCTGTCCTCAACCCGGCAGCCAGAGTGAGCCTTTTAAAAAAGTCAGATCAGGTCAGTCTGCTGCTCAGAGTGCTCTGGTGGCTTCTCGTCTTGGAGAAGCAGCTAACAGGTCTCTAAGGCCCCCCGCTCTGGCCCAGTTTCCTCCCTGACCTCATCTCCAGCTCTTCTCATCCTCACTCACATGCTCCAGCCACGCTGGCCTCCTGGGTGTTCTTCAGGCTCGCTGATGGCGAGGGCCCTTTGCACTTGCCCCAGTCGAAAACACTCAGCCGCTTCCTTGATGCGTGCTCCCTCCTCACTGCTCTCAAGTCTTTGCTGAAATATCACCTTCCCAGTGAAACTTTCCTGGCTTACTTAAAATTGTGACCTCGCCACCTTCCCCCTCCAGAGTCCATGTCACCATCAGACATGTGGTGTCTTATCTACCCATGCCTGTGAATGAAAGCTCTCTGAGAGCAGGGGGCTTGTCTGTTTTCATCACTCCCCCCACCCCCCACCCCCCCGCCCCCACAGTGCCTAACACAGGAGCTCAGTGAATATTTGTACGCTGAATGAAAAGACGCATCCACCAACAGCTGCTGGGCAGTGGGGAGTGCTAGGAAGAGGCAGGCAGGGCCAGAGGAGCCCAGGGATGCCTGAGGGGCATGCACAGGAGACCACGAATTACATTTACTACTGCTGTCCCTAACGTCCACTTCCTGAGTGCCTGTTGTGTCCCTTGGCCTGCACTCAACGTTTTGCAAGGGTTTTCTGCTTCACTGAATTCTCCCAGTGTCTTTTTTGGTAGATACCATTGTTCTTTCCATTTCCATGAGAAAACCGAGACTCAGCGAGGCTAAGTGACTTGCTTAATCTCACACAGCTGGAAGGCAGCAGAACCAGGACTCAGTCCCAGCCTTCTGTACTCAAACCTTCAACTCTTAACGACTGCGTAGAAATTTTCTTGATCTGGTTTCTAGTAGTAAAGTGCTAGCATCACGACTTTCTGATTTCACGATAGTTTACACTAAAATAACAACCACCACCCAGAACCGGAAGGTTTTGTCTTCCCCAGACCCTTTTGGGGGCTTCTCTGGTGGGCAGCCTGGACAGCAGGAGGTTGCAAAACAGATCCTGTGCTCCCCAGGGCCACAATGAGCTGTTTTCCACTTGACTGAGAAAGCCCCAGCTTGGTTCCAAAGGCCAGTCCAGGCCTTTTGGGCCAGGCAGAGAAAGGTGTTAGGAGCCTCTGGGTTGGGTTGGGCCGTGAGGTTAGGGCTGCAGTGACGTTGGTGGAAACGGGGCTGAGTTTGTGAGTGTTTGCCTAGTTTCCAAGCTCTTTAGCTGCTCCTGTGCCTGGGCCACACCCGACCCACAACAATGGTGGGGAGCCGCCCTCTCAGCCTGGGCGGCTCACCTGGCTCTCTGCTCTGTGATGCTGAGTGCGGATGTCAGCGAGGGCTCCCCTTGGCCAAGAAACTGCCACGGTCCCAGGAGACAATTTGGCTCCAGGCCTTGAGACCTGGCGGGGTGGCAGTGTTTACCATTGAGTCCTGTCCCCTCCCAAGTGTGGGCTTGCACGGCTTCACTGGGCAAAGCTCTGTGCCCTTGGACTTAAGGTCCTGAAGGCAGAGCCTCTTCTATGAGATGGGGTGATCCAACCCCTCTCCCACACTTGGTGAGGGCCGTGGACGCGCTTCTAAAACTAGAGGTGAAGACGTCGCGATAGCCGCATGAGAGCTGCAGCTGAGCCAGACGACAGTGTGTCATTTGCCGGCACACACTTGGGGGCCGTGTGTCCAGCACGTGCACGTCTCCTTGGATCCCACCATTTCTCCCCCCAACCCCCGCCCCAGGAGCTCCCGCGGCCAGCAGTCTCGTTTCCCAGAGGAGGGCCTTGTTCCATGTAGCAGAGCTGGACCTGCACAGGAGGTCTGTCTGGCTTCACCTCCCAGCCCAGTGGTTGGACTGGTCCTGGTTGTCATGGGGTCCCTAGTGTGCAGTCTTTAAAGAGCGTTTCTTGCAGTTGTTTGATTTAAAAGAGAAACAAACTTGATGGTTGTTAACACTCGTTCAGTTTTTAGGTTCACAAGGCCCGTCGCATAACATATTATTTCGTGGAATCACCACGACATTTGGAGTATTCTGTCCATTTTGAGGGTGAGGAAGCCGAAGCCCAAGAGGGTGTCAGGTAGCCTGCTCCCTGTTGGCATTGCTGCTGGTGGGAACAGTTGTGAAGCCGCACAATTTGGGGTCTTACTGTCACATTTCCATGAAGCCTGGGCTTGGCAGGAGTGACACGGAGCCAGTTGTGGTTACAAGAAGGGTGGGAAGGAACCAGGGCACTGTCCCAGGGAATCCAGTGAAATTGGTTCCCCCAGGTTTATAAAGGGGGGCACCAGCACCCAGACAGGTAAGTGACTTGCCGGGAGCAGATGGCAGACAAGAGCCAGAGCTGACTCTGTCAAGAGCTGGGGTCAGCCTGACACCAAGGGCTATGTCCCCTCTGCCTTAGAGTAATTGACTTTCCTTCAAGGTTCCAGCCCCCTTCCTTAGCTTTTTTGCAAGTTTGGCAGATCTTAATGGGCAGTAATGAGTTTGCTTACTTTTGCTCTCTTGGTATTTATTCAACTAATTGCATCCCAGGAGAAGGAACTCCCCCCCAACACCAACCCCCAGCATTCCAACCGTCTTAGGCCTGGAGAAGAACTCGACTCCAATCAAAGAGATGCTCCTCAGTTTCTTCCTATGACCAACAGAGGAAAGCAAATCCAACTGTTTTCCTTGGCTTCAAAAGGAAAATAAAAGCGATTCTTGAAATTGCTTTTCCACATTGTATTGTGAGGAGTTTCCATTATGCACGGGTTTCCCTCCCCACAAGCAGGGCTGGTGTGACCAAGCCACGTGCCGGGCTCTGCGCGCCAGGAGGCCACCTCCCCAAGGGCTTGGGTCCCACCCAGCCTCCGGTGGGCAGCTCTGAGCGTCCCTGCTTGGCCTGCTGTGGTGGGGCCACACACCGTGTGTCCACGTCCCCCTCAGCACCACAGCCCAGTGAGGGGCCACTCTGTGGGAAGAACTGTTTTCATAAGACAGAGCTGTGGGTCCTACCCTGCGGCAGAAGCTACTTTCCTGGGGTCATCTTGTGAGTTCTCACTGCAAAGGGTAGGAATAAGTAAATTTCAAAAATAATAGCGACAGCCAATTATCACTGTGACCCAAACACTTTATAAGTATTGTCTCACTTCATCCTCCCAACAGGCCTGGGAGGGAAGCTGTTATTTCAGGGTGGCCATGCATGGTGACCCAGGTTGTATACTATGCAACTCTAGGGAGCACAGCTCACATTCATGGTCTTTGTAGTTTTGTATATTTAAATCACAGCAGTGTGTTCTAATTCTCACAAAGATGCTTTTAAGACTAATGGCAAAACTGACAGTTGTTCCTGTTGCAGGCAAGGAAGCTATTAAGGTTCAAAGTCCATGAGTCATTTCGTCCTAAGTCATCAGCTTATCCAAGTAGCAGTCGGTAACAGAATCCCAACGTATGTCTGTGTTGAATGTATAAAAGTGACAGGGAAACTCAAGAGGGATTGTTCCCTGGCGGCCACGCCCCCTCTGAGGCAAGAAGGAGAACAGGAGAGCTCTTGGGACCCCTGGGACTGCTGACCCCGAATTGAATCAGCTTTCAGGATGGTGTTTCATCGTTAGTCCATGTTGTAGTCCTGCCTGGGGGCTCACAGAGCCTGTCCCTCTCTCCCCAGCCTGCCCTGCCCCATCACTCTGTGATCGCAGATGGAAGCCAGGTAGGAGTCCAGGCCAGAGGCCCTGCAGGAGGCCTGGGCAGGGGGCCTCTGCCAAGGCAGCAAGGGCATCTGGAACTGCCCCCTTGGCCCAGTGCCCAGCTGGCCCCTGACAGGAAGCCGGGAACTTGAGCTGTGCTTGAGTGAGCTTGGTGGACCTGAGCATGAATCATGATGTTAAACCAGCATCAGGACAGAAAAGAAAAAAAAAAAATCAAAACTTCAAAGTTGACGCACGGTTTTTCCTTCCAAAGCTGGTTATGAGATACATGATGTGCCAGTCAGGTAGTACCAAACCAATTGGTAATCTGGGATGACAGAGGGATCCAGATAAAGAAATATTCCAGAAGATACTGCCCTACAGGGCCCAGCTGACCACATGACCAATAGGACAGATAATAACAGCTATCATTTGTTTGTTACAGACTTTGGGTGTGCTCAGCCGTGCTCTACCTCATTGAGCACCTTATGAATAGGGGACTGGGCATGCTGGTTGGCCCCCCTTGAGGCCTATTGTCTTATTAATTATTAATAGCACCCCATTTTATTCTCAAAAGTGTCCTCATTGGGTATTAAACTATTTGGTCCCTTACCTAGGAGACAGACATTATTATCTGCATTTGTAGTAGAAGAAACCCAGGTCCAGAAACGTTAGGTCACTTGCCTAAGGTCCCTTGAAGGAAACATCGGGACTGGGAAGTCCACGTCAGCTGCAAGGTCTGTGCCTTCACTTCGATCAAGAGCACCTCCCCAACCCATGTGAATAATAGTGCCTGTCTGTTTGTTAAATGGTCGGGATGCAGATTCCCTCTTAGTCATTCTTGACTGACAAGGTAGAAATGGCTTTCAGGTCAGCACAAGGGTGAGTCTTGTTGGATGGTAGAAACAGCTGCTTGGTCATCCAAGTGGTGAGACCCCAAAATGGACATCTAGAATGCGCAGCAGTGTCCTCACCTTAGAAACCCTGGGGAAGGAACTGTGCATCGCTTGTCTTGGTGATTCACCACCAGCCTGGAGGCTAGGGAGGGAATAACCACATCTCCAACTGCCATCCCCTCCCAGCCCGGAAGCCTGTGAATCATCCCCGCCAGAAGGCAGTGTGGGCACCCAGGGGGTCTGGAGCTGATGGCTAGACCCTGCCAGTCCAGCTCTTATAAGACCTTCAAATGAGTCGTCTGTCCAGCCAGCCAGCCAGCCCTCCATCCCTTTAGCCTTCCCAGCCAACCAGCCATCGTGTGTTGCTACAGTCAGGGTCCAGCCCTGTCCTGGGTGCTGGGAACACGGGCTCAAGCCAGAGAAGCAGGGAGTGTGGGACTGTGCAGATTTGCTGGGAAGAGCAGCAGTCGCACTTGCCTGACGCGCCTGCCCCTGTTGCGTTGCTGGCTCCGGGGCAGGGCTGAGCTCATGGAGGAGGTGGGTTGTGGTCATCCTGTGAGGTCATCGGGTTAGGAGAGGATGTGGTTCAGCGGCGGGGAACGGGTTGCCTTTGCCAGGGGACAAGGATGCCGCTGTTCCTTTTCCGCAGCACATTATTTTGGGGCCATCTTGAAAGGTCCCAAAGCCTGCACACTGATCCCTCGGGTGCCAAGAGCCCCAGCCAGCAGAGCAGAGGCGGAGAGCCTGCAGAAGCCATTTCGGAGCCCGGCTCCCGAGTTGGCTGCTGCATTTCCGGCCGTGCCTCGTGTACTCTGCAGTGTTGGATCTGGGGGGAGCCCCCGACGGCAGGGAGCGGCCAGGGACCGGGTGGACACCGGTGCCCCGGGCGGCTTCCCGGGAAATCCAAACCTTGCCTGGGGCTGCTCTTCCAGGCCAGGCTGAGTGGCTGGCCCTACGACCACCTCGGCCCTGTTGCAGAGCTCATCCCCAGCACAGGGACGATGAGCATGCGCCTCCGTCCCCGATCCCAGCAACTCTAGGGCAGGGGCCATGATTATCCCCGTTTCACAGATGAGGAAACACAGTTAAGGGTGGAGCTTTGCCCAGACCTCAGAGCTCCCAAGTAGTGGAGCTGGGCTTGGAACAGACGTGTTGACTCCAGAACCAGCTTCCTTACCCACACGGGCCTTGCTGGCCTGCCTACTGCTCCAAGCCTATCTTTGTAAACCTCACAGCTGGCCCCGTCAGTGTCCTGCTGGAAGACAGAGCCTGTGTTGTCCTGCCTCCCTGCCCCTGCACGTGCTGTTCTTTCTGCCTCGGCACCTTCCCCATGTCCTGCCTTCCTTGCTCAGTTGACCTTCTCTGTGAAGCCGGCCATTCTTGGGGAGGGGGCCCCCTCTCTCCTCCAGCTCCCAGGAGCAGCCCTGGCTGCTTCCATCACAGCACCCGAGACCCAGCTTGTCCTCATCTGGTTCTCTACCCAGACTATGGGCTTCTTAAAAGTGGGGTCAGGGTGGTAGCCAGGATGGCACCTGGGTTACTAAGTAGGAATTCAAGGCATTCACTCATTGCACAAACTCCCTGAGCGTTTCCCTGGTGCCAGCCACTGTGCTGGGGACCGGAGATAGAGCAGGAGTGAGGGAG